ACCTATTTAAACTCTCTGCGCCTATGTGAGTTACCTTCTAACCAAGCGAGAATCCAATTGGACCCCTTATTTTCAGATATAGAAAAATTAAATAAATTATCATTATAAGAAAATTATTGTTTTATATAAACTATCTTTTTATAATTTTTGAATCTAAATTTATTTCTTATCATATTAGTATCTATAAGATAATATAAAAATATAATCTTTATATTAGGCACGAAAAAAAAAAAAATAAAAAGTGAAAAGAACTAAGATTTTATACTATAGAATAACAGAAAAATAAAAAACAATAAAGCAATGATGCGAAGGTATAAAAAAAGATTTTAGATATCTACAAAATAAAATCAAAAAAATTAAAGCACTAAAAAAAATATAAGTTTGCAATAAAGAAAATAAATTTATTTAATTGATGAATTTTATAGTAAGAAGTTAAATTTTATTAATCAAAAGTCTATTAGCAAAACATACTATAATTTATATAAAAAAGATTTTATATAATATTTTTTTTTAATCATATAAATAAATAGCTGAATTTAAATATTTGTTTAAAAAATCATTTGATTTTTTTTATATTAGCTTTAAAATTTCAAAAATACAAAAAAGGTTTTTATCAAAACCAAAACAAAAACATCCTGTTAAGCTTGCAAAAAAAGATAATAAATATAAAGAATTATTTTATGCAAATGATAAAATTAAATCTGATGTAGCTGAATTGATTAGAAGGCCACAAAATATTTCAAAAAGAAAATAAGATATGAGAATTTTTTTTATTAGGTCAATTTCTAAAACCTACTTTGCTAAAAAGAAATAATATAAAAGAAATATCTCCTCAAGCAAACAAAGCGATCTCTAAAAATAAAATTGGAGAAGTTTCAACAAATATCTTACAATGACTATTATATGATGATGATTATTATAATAACACTATATTAAATTGTTAGTATATATTATAAACACATTTGTATAATTACTATTATTATTATCATTATTATTTTACATGTTTAAAATTTCAATAACTATTTCAAGTAAAGAATATAGCAATATTGAGAAGTTACAAGAAACTAAAAATTACTAGAATCTAGAAGATTGTTTGAAAATAAAAGATTGTTGGGTATATATATATACATGTATGTACAGTATATATATACTTATATAATTAATAAGATTAAAATTATTTTAAATCGGATGCGAAACTCTGTGGAAAGTCCAAGTGCAGTATGAAACCAGAATAAGAAGTTTTCAGAAGAAGACCAGGTTGTGGAGTGAAAATACTATGTATAATAGTGGTATTACAGAAAGTTTAGACAATAGAAGATCATACATATAAGTCCTCTGGTTGGGATGCTTAGAGGCAATACCAACATCCTATTACCTCTATATTTGGCAATACCAATATCTCTACACCCAACTTGTAGAGTACTTGCTTGAAAGGATAATCAATAGATTGTATGCATAAGTTCTAATATGAAATAGTATTGAGTACTTGCTTGAAAGAGTAATAATATACTACAAAAACTAGAGTAGTGAGAGAAGCAATGATATATAACTATGGGCTGTGGTAAAGGATTATGTCTTAAC